CGTCCGCAGCAGCAGCAGCAGCCGCCATGTCTCTTCTCCAGGGCAGGCAGGGACACAGCGCTCCCGGCCTCTCCCCGAACCCTCCCCCCAAAGCCCACACGAAACGCCCCTGTTGTTGATTCACCCCTTTCTGGAGCTTGCAAGGGCTGCAAGGGATGCCCCACGGGACGCCCCAGCTTCTCACCCCTGCCCCAACACGGCGCACGACTCATTTCTCTCCGTGCTCACCCATTCTCAGCTGCAGCCCCTCCCCAGAGCACCAGGTGCTGGGGGGCTCCCGACAAAGACCCCCAAACACACAAGCCGCCCTCCAGGCAGCATCAGGGAGACAGCCCCCCCCCGCCTTGACCTCTTCTGCCTTTTCCACCCGTTGCCAGCACAACCCCTTCCATCGGGCGCCCCTGCTGATGAATTTACAGGCACTGCGGGGGGGGGGCAGGTTTTCCCGGGGCGTCCCTCTTCTTCCCTCAGGGCTGAATCGGTGAGCTTGGGGTGAGCCCCCCCCCACAAGAGTAGACTGGGCTGGGGCTTCAGAGCAGGGGTGGGGTGGGGATCCTGTGCCCCTTGAGCGGCAGAGGGTCCCCCAGGGGCTCTTTTGTGGCCCCTCCACTTGGAGGCACACACAGCCCGTTTCTGTTCCTGGGGGCCTCCAAGAGTGGTGGGTTTTCAGCTTAGGGATCTTGGCCGGGGGGGGTGTCCCTAAGAAACAGACACTGGAAGGGTCCATTCAGGAATCTCCCAGTTACGGACCTTTTTGAATGGCCGTATCCTGTGCCAGGCTCTGTGGGAAGCATCTGGCCTACCAGCCCCCCTCCCCCCCAAGAGGGCGGCCCCCTGTTTTGGCGCCTCCTCACTTTCCTGCGTGTGATGGGGGGCGGTGGAGCCTGGACCCACCAAGCGCATCCCCCAGACCTGTCTGTCCCGGCATGGAATAGTGCGGAGTGCCTCTGTGTTTGGGAAGGAGGGGGGTCTCTTTTGCAGGCTCTTGGTTCCCCCTCCTCCTTGGCAGTCAGTGCCGGGGAGAAGGCACCAGCCTTGATCCTCGCAAGCCCCCCCGCCTGCCCCTCCACCCCCCTGACCACCGCAAAGCTCGCCCAAGGCCAGCGCTTGGCCTGAAGTCCCTCCGTTGGCTTCTCCTCAGGTCGCGTGGTCAACCTGGCCAGCATGTTGGGCCGGATGGCCAGCCCGCAGCGCTCCTCCTACTGCGTCTCCAAGTTCGGGGTGGAGGCCTTCACGGACTGCTTGAGACAGGAGATGTACCCCTGGGGGGTCTCGGTGGTGGCCATCGAGCCCAGCAACTTCATCGCGGCCACGGGCATCTTGACCCGGGAGGGCGTGGACTCTGAAGCCGAGCAGATGTGGCGCGAGGCCAGCGAGACCCTCCGCGCAGACTACGGGGAGGCCCACTTCTTGCAGCGGGTGGAGCAGATGAGGGCCTTTGTCCGTAGCGGCCTGAGGGACGTCTCCCCCGTGCTTGATGACATTACGGAGGCGCTGACCGCCCGACACCCGTGCACCCGCTACAACCCCATGGAGACCCACTTGTGGATGCGGCTGCAGGCCGTGACCCACTTGCCCACGGCTCTGTCGGACTGGCTGTATGTCAAGTAGCCGTCATGGGCTGAAGGGGGGGCACCCGTCCTGCCAGTCCGCTCTGGTTCCGGGGCTGGGGGTGGGCAGCCTTTCCACCCACCATCCTCCCTCTCTCTTCATGTTCAGGGAGCGGTTGCCCTCCGTGCCTAGGAACACTCGCCAGCTAACCGTGGGATGAAAAGGACCACCGCTCTGTTCTCCCTCTCCTCTCCTCTCCCCTGCCCTGCCTTCCAGGTGCCTGTCTCTGGACCCTCTGCAGACCACATCTGTCCGTGCAGGATGATGGTGGGGAAGGGCTGGGGAGATGATCAGCTCCTGCCCCTAATTATACCGCATTCGTATTATGAGAGCACCCCCCGCCGCTGAATCACCTGCCTTTCGGCTCCATTCCTGCGGGCTGCAGATCCAAGCAGCGACACCAATCTCCATGGTTTTGGAGATACTGAGAGCAGGAGGAGGAGGAAGAGGAGGAGGAGGCAGTCCTGCAAAGAAGGGAACCTCAACCAGCCAGGGTCCAGGGCCCAGGGCCCAGCGGTGGACAGGGGCCACGTGCCAGGATGCTCTCCATGCAGGCCTGAGCCAGGGAACCCAGTCCCCCCACCCCCGCTCGCCTGGAGGGAGGGCTTGTAAAGAAGCAGCCTCTCCTTTCGCTCCAGTTGCCAGGGAGGGGCCCTGCAGGACTCTGTGGAACTTTGTGCTTTGAAAGAACTGGGCAGGTTTAGCCTTGAGAAAAGAAGAGGTTAGGGGAGATGCCATAGCCCTCTTCAAAGACTTGAAAGGCTGTCCCACAGAGGAGGGGCAGGATCTGTTCTCAGTCATCCCAGAGTGCAGGACCCGCAACAATCAGCTGGAGCTACAGAAAGCCACATATTGATTGAATATCAAGAAAAAAATATCTTAACTGTTAGAATAGTATGACAACGGAACCCATGACCTCGGGGGGGGGGCAATGAGCACTCCAACCCTGGAGGCCTTCAAGAGAAACTTCGGCCACCACCTGGCAGATCTCCTTTGATCTGTATTCCTGACTTGAGCAGGGGGTTGGACTCTGTGGCCTTACGGGCCCCTTCCAACTTCACCATTCTATGACTTGCATTCTGCACCGACCAAACAGCTGGAGCTGTCTTTTCCAGAGACATGACTTGCCTTTATTTTACATTTTTCCTTCTGATTTTCCCATCTGGTTCTTCCTGGATCAACTCTCCTCCACATTCTTGAGATTTCAGGAACCTGTTCCTTGGAATAGGGGAACAAAGTAGCTATACAATATCTTTCTTTCTTACTCTATCAATTAAAGACTGCTCAACCCAATGAGCTTCAACTAGAGCGCTGGTGGAAGTTTAGGGGCAAATATAGTATTTCATAAAGGGCTAACTGTGGCTAATTTTGAATATGTTCACCTCATATTTTAACCGAAATGGTTCTGCACCACTATATTATAAGTCCATTGATGTCCTTTTGATTTCTTTTAGATTGTGCCTTCATTTTGTGGCTCTTCTTGCCTGTTTACCTGCAGTTGTTTAAAAAGTGTGCTGCTTAAATAAATCTTCAAATGAATGGCACTTGTGAGGAGCCTCAGATGGTACACTTCCCCCCCTCTGGGGCAAATAAAGGACTTCGTTTTGGCTGAGCACCTGCTGCCCATCAGCTGGACACTTGGCATGGGGCCTCCTAGGCCAGAAGGAGGGAGGGGGGGAGGGAGGGAAGGAGGGAGGAAAGGAGAGAGGAGAGAGACCGGGGTGGGGTGGGGTGAGGAGGTCACCCAGTTGGACGCTGGCCTACACCAAGCATGCCTCAGTTCCTCTCAGGAGAGAGCCGGGAGCGAGCAACTTCTCTGGGAGAGGGGGGACCCCCTTCATCTGCCGCCCTCCTCCTCGGGGGCTTCAGGAGATGGGCTGTTCCCAGATACTTGTCCTGGAGGACAGGGAGACCAGGCAGAGACCGCCCTGCTTCTCCTTGGGACCCCTCCCTAAGATGCTTTCTACTCTGCAGCCACGGGGGACCTGCAGAAACAGCTGCAGCGTTTCAGGCAATGGCTTTGCCCTCCCATGAAAGGCACACCCTCGGCCACCAAGGCCTGCTTCCTCTCGGAAGCATTCATGAAGCAGGGGAGCGAGGGCAGCAAGGAGGAGGGCTCGGCTATGCCCAGGGCCCCCGGGCTGCTTTCCCTGCCTCCGTCCCCAAAGGGCAACCTCTGCTCCGTCTGGCTCGTAGGCACCAGTTTGGCAGAGCAACGCCAAGAGGACATCCAACCCCAGCTCCCAGCATTTCTGTATTTTTATACCGATTAGAGCTGTGCTTGAAAGAAACAAGTCAGGAGTTTTACCAAAATCGTGCATTTCTTTAAAAATGAGATGAACGCAAACACTGGCTGACGCCAGCTTCTTGGGGTGCTAGGAACAACTCATTCAGGCAGATTTCAGGGGCTGGGGGTGGTCTGAAGCAAATATTTGGGGAGGGGGTGCTGGGCGGTTCCCAGGGAAGGACACCCAAGCCATCAGTGGCCAGCGAGGACAGGCTCCCAAAGGCCCGTTCCAGGGGACCCCTGTGAAGCTGAGGTCAATCCAGAAATGGGGCCCAGGTGTCCCTTTTGCCCACTAAAGAAACCTCACCATGTCCTTTGGTCAAAAGCCTTTCCAGAAATGGTGGTGGGAGGCATGGGGAGGCTCAACACAACATTAGAAACAGCACAACGCCCCCCCCTTGGCAAGCCCCTTCTCCAGAGGAGGGAGCAGGCTGGCACCAACGCCCAAAGCGGCTCAGACCCTTGTTCCGAAGGGCAAGCAGGACCAGGGGCCAACACCCTTTCCCCCCCCCATGCCGCTGGGGCCCTTCTTCAGGGGAAGGGTGGCATGGCAGTGGGATCCCCGCGTGGCAAGAGAGAAAAGCCACATCCAGCTGCCCCTGTTGCCTCCGCCGCCCACTGCGTTGGTAGGGATTTCTGTTGCCATTTTGCCAACCAGTATCATGTTCATGGGGTATTCTTGGCAAGGATTACTGGAGTGGCTTGCCAATTCCTACTCCAGGTGGATTGCATTGAGGCTCCAATCCTTTGGCCACCTCATGAGAAGAGAAGACTCTCTGGAAAAGACTCTGGTGTTGGGAAACTGCTATGGCAAGAGGAGAAGGGGGACGATAGAGGATGAGATGGTTGGACAGGGTCACCGAAGCGACCAACATGACTTTGACCCAACTCCGGGAGGCTGTGGAAGAGAAGAGGGCCTGGTGTGTGCTCTGGTCCATGGGGTCACCAAGAGTCGGGCACGACTAAACAACTAAACAACAACAAACAACCTTATGTTACTATCGGTAATTACGGGTGAGTTGCTGTCTTTTCATTTTGCCTATGAAAAAGTGACATCTTGTGTCTTGTCTATAGGTGGGTCCTCCTTCATGGGCTGGTGCCTGTTACATACAGCACTGATGTTACCTGTCTGTCATGGGTTTGGAGGGAAAGTTCCATCCTATGGGGAGTGGAAGGCGGGACAAAGGCCCGTTCCAGGGGACCCCTGTGAAGCTGAGGTCAATCCAGAAATGGGGCCCAGGTGTCCCTTTTGCCCACTAAAGAAACCTCACCATGTCCTTTGGTCAAAAGCCTTTCCAGAAATGGTGGTGGGAGGCATGGGGAGGCTCAACACAACATTAGAAACAGCACAACGCCCCCCCCTTGGCAAGCCCCTTCTCCAGAGGAGGGAGCAGGCTGGCACCAACGCCCAAAGCGGCTCAGACCCTTGTTCCGAAGGGCAAGCAGGACCAGGGGCCAACACCCTTTCCCCCCCCCATGCCGCTGGGGCCCTTCTTCAGGGGAAGGGTGGCATGGCAGTGGGATCCCCGCGTGGCAAGAGAGAAAAGCCACATCCAGCTGCCCCTGTTGCCTCCGCCGCCCACTCTCAGCCACGTGGCACCCGGAGACCCTCGACTGACCCACAGGGAGGGAGGTCTCCACTTCTGGATGACTTTGAGGAAGCTCTGTGTAGAGGATGAGATGGTTGGACAGGGTCACCGAAGCGACCAACATGACTTTGACCCAACTCCGGGAGGCAGTAGAAGACAAAGAGGGCCTGGCGTACTCTGGTCCATGGGGGTCACGAAGGGTCGGACACGACTAAACAACAACGAACAACCTTATTTTACTATCAGGGTACTTACGGGTGAGTTGCTGTCGTTTCATTTTGCCTATGAAAAAGTGACGTCTTGTCTATAGGTGGGTCCTCCTTCATGGGCCGGTGCCCATGGCGGGAAGCTCCCCCAGAGCCTTTGTTTGGGGAGCATCAAGGGCAAGGCTGTTCATGGGTGGGTGCTGCCCACCTGCCTGGATCCAGCCATGGGCTTTCTCCAGGGGCTTCTAGGAAGCAGGAAGGAGGCTGGCCATTCCCCTTCTTGTCTTCCTTTTAAGCCTTTATCTTGAACTTTGTTGCTGATTGCTGTTATTTTATCCTGTGGTTGCTTAGTGATTCTAGAGTAGACAGCTTTCCACTATATTGCTGCTGTTACTTCCTTCTCTTAGGCTCATTCATTCCGAGAGATTTTTCTCCTTCATTGTCTCTTAAATAAAATGATGTATCCTTTCCTTACTGGTGTACTTAGTGTCTCTTGAATCCAAAAGAACCGAGTGGCCCCCAGAGAAGGCAGGTAGGACAGGACCAGACCAGACCAGATTGAAGAGTGGGTCAGGAGGGGAAAAAGGGTAAACTAGTGGAAACTTTATTGAAATACCACCTGGGGGGGTGGCGGAAAGAGTCCTGGAGGGTGGGGGAGCCCCTTGGCTGGGGGTTGCCTCTGCCGGGAAGGGCCCCGTGGGGCACCTGCTGGGAGAACTGGCATTGTGGGAGCGCATCATGGTGCCCACGGTTGCCTCAGCCGAGGCGGCTCTTGGGGGCGCCCCACGAGTCACCGTGGCGGTTGCGTGAGGGAAGGCAGATGCTTCAGGGCCACAGGTGGTGGCTGCACCGGGAGCTGCTGCGGGCGCCTGGGTAGTGGTGAAGACTGGGAGGGCTGTGGTGATGCTGGCAACGGCCATAGCAGCAAGAGACATCTCCGTGGCAAGCTCTGGCGCGACAGGGGGGATCCCAGGACGGGTAGGTTCAGGGGCCATGGATTGAAATGGTGGAGCAGTTGTGAGGCCGGGGGCCGTGGATGGAGCGGTAGGAGCAGTCCACACAGCTTTGGGGGTTGTGGCGGCGGTGGCACCAGACGCAGAGGTTGTGCTTGACGTCTCAGTCGTGGTTTCAGGGTTTGTTGGGGTTGGAGTAGGATCCTGAGCGGTCCTGATCTGAGGTGTTGTGTTTGGTGTCTCCATGCTTGTGGCCGGATCTGGGGACCTCTCTCTCGTGGTCGTCATGATCTCTAAAGTTTTGGTGGGACTCTCGGGGGTGGTGGTGAGTTTGGCGGTTGTGTGAGGCGAGGCAGATGCTTCAGGGCCACAGGTGGTGGCTGCACCGGGAGCTGCTGCGGGCGCCTGGGTAGTGGTGAAGACTGGGAGGGCTGTGGTGTGGCTGGCACTGGCCGTAGCAGCAAGAGACATCTCCGTGGTAAGCTCTAGCGTGACAGTGGGGATCCCAGGACGGGTAGATTCAGGCGCCGTGGATTGAATTGGTGGAGCAGTTGTGAGGCCGGGGGCCGTGGATGGAGTGGCAGCCTCTGCTCTGATGGTGGTGGTGGCGGTGGCGGCGGCGATGTTGAAGATTGTGTCTGGAGTCTTCGTAGTGGTTGGCTCACGGGTGGTGACTGGGAGAATATCGGTCGTGGTGGACCTCCGAGTGGCTGGGGAAAGCGTGGTGTCTTTCCGTGCAGCAACAGGAGGTGACGGGGTGACTGTGGTCGGAATGGGTGGGGTAGTGAGGCAGATGAGCTGGGCTTCCGCCAGGGATCCCACCGCCTTCCCAGAGAGAGGGTCGGGGCTTCCACACGTTACTTTGGCGGCATCTTTCACTGCTTTGGAGCTCCTTCTCATCCACTGGTGGAGCGAGAGAAGATGGCAGTCGCACCTCCATGGATTCTCACCAAGATACACGGCGCGGAGGGTCGCGAAGCGGTCCAAGAGACCCGCGGGAAGGCTCTCTAACTGGTTCCTGTTGAGCTTCAGGGTCCGGAGCTGTGGGAGGGAGGAAGACCCCAAGGCCTCCAGGGAGGAGAGCCTGTTCCTGCTCAGGTCCAGAAGGGCGAGAAGGGGCAGCTCACCCAAGAGCGGACCAGGGAGCCCCACCAGCTGGTTGGAAGCCAGTTTCAGCTCCTTCAGTTTTCTCAGCCCAACGAAGGACCCTTCTGGGAGAACGTCGACCTGGTTGCTCTCCAGGATAAGTTTCTCCAGGTTGGTCAGATTCCTCAGCAAGCCGGGTGGAAGCGTCCGGATCCTGTTCTTCGCAAGGTTGAGCTCCGTCAGGCTTTGCAGGCTATCCAAGCTCCCCTCGGGGAGGCTAGTGATCTCGTTCTCGTACACCCGAAGGGTCTGCAGCTGAGTGAGCGGCCGGAAGACGTCCTTCGGGAGGCTTGAAATCTTGTTCCCGGCCAAGTGTAGGAGGCGTAGTTTGGGGAGTCCATCAAAGACACCTTCCGGAAGAGACGGGATCCTGTTGAGATGCAGGTAGACCTCCTCCAGGCTCCCAAGGTCATCAAAAAGTCCCTTTTCAAGGGCAGTGAGCTGAGAGTTCCGCAGGTTCATTTTCCGTAGACGAGGCAGGGCCCGGAAGGTTCCGACCGCCAGTCTGCCCAGCTCTGCTCCGGACAGTTCCAGCTCCTCCAGTTTCTCTAAGTTATCAAAGGCACCCACTTCCACCTTTTTAATCTTGCTGTTGATGAACTCAAGTTTCACCAGGTTCGGCATGTTCCGGAAGGCCCCCTCTTTGATTTCAACAAGGCTGGTTTCCACAAAGAACATCTCGGTGATTTGGGGACCTGCTGATTTTGGGACCTCTTGGACATCCCTGGTTTTCGTGTAGACATCCTGGTGGGCCTTCGGGCACTGGTGCTCCCTTGTGCCATTACAGGTTGTTACACCTCTGCCAGTTGCAAATGTGAGGAGGAGGAGAAGGAGGACCAGGTGCCCGGACCACATCCTGGGAGAAACCAAGACCTGTTGTGACAGCCTTTCGCCAAGAACCAAATAAAGCCTAAGAACCTAAGAAGAGGAGCCCTGATGGATCAGGCCAAGGGCCCCTCTAGTCCAGCTTCCCGTCTCTCATCGTGGCCCCAGCAGATGCGTCTCCTGGTCCCCCTCCGGGCTTTCTCCAGGCGCTTCCAGGAATTGAGGGATTGAGGTCAGGCTGACTGGCCTATAGTTCCCAGGTTCCTTTTTTTGCCCTTTATGAAGATAGCGACAACATTGGCTATCTCCAATCTTCTGGCACCTCCCCTGTTTCCCAAGATTTCAAGAAAATAATAGATAGTGGCTCTGAAAGTTCTTCAGCCAGTTCCGTTAGTACTCTCGGATGCAGTTCATCCGGCCCTGGAGATGTGGGGTAGGTATTCCTTGACTGTTTGTTTATCAATCTCCAGCTACAATCTCCAGACTAAAGGCAGTGAGGGTTCAGCCCTGCCCTGCCTCAACAGTCCCCCCCCCCCCAGTTCACCCGACTGCCGGGATTGAC